AATTCTTGAGAAGAAGTCGCTCGAGGATGGAATCTTATTATTTTATCAACCTCATATTCATATTTGCTGTGAACGTATTCTTCTTTTTGTTAGGAATTTGTTTTCCCTATAAGGTCAAATAAGGGTAATCTCTTATATTGATCTAGTGTTACTACAAGAGGAAACCTAAACTAAACTATTTTTATATTGCTTGGATAGCTCTAACATTTCTAAATCAGTATGATGACGCGTTCTCTGTTGTATGTAACAGCCACTCCCCTGTGGTCCGTGTTTGTATATATTATACAACACTGCCGTTCATGCGCTATTTCTTACATACTTATGGAGAGCATTACAGTTTCCTTAAAAATATTACCAACGACCAGTAATTTTAAAAGACAGTATAAAGTATAAAGTAGATTTACTGTCAACCAAATTAATAACCCTTAGTTAAATTGGGAATGTATTACTTCATTTATTTTATACCGCAATGGATTGGTTAAACAAATGAACTAACTACTTAATTAATGATTAAGTTAATCAAAAAATAGTGGCTTTAATTTAGTGTATTATGCTAACTTTCTCTGCCACTTTTCTTTCTCTTCTTTTGACCAAGAGTTCAATTTATTGACTTACGTGAAATCCAAATAGTAAATAATGAGATATATGCAATTAGCTAAAAAATTTACCTAATAAATCAAAAGTAGACGGTGGCCAACTCGAAAGCTTATGCTACTTTGGTCACCGTGCACAATTTTAACATCATAATTTAAAACTTTTTAATGTACTTATACTGAATATACATCATGAATATCTCTCCTAATGTAATATATATGCCAAATAGTGTGAATAAATTGAACTTGAACTTGAACTTCATACAAATTTCCATGAGCTTGTACGTACTTATAAAATATGAAATATTTTCAAACACGTGCATCAAGACACAGAGGCTATGTCTTGTAAATGTCATTTATGCACTTGAGTACTTGAAGTTCAGTACTTAAACACAACGGCACTACTTTTTTGTTTAATTCTTCAGAAGAAGTCGCTCGAGGATGGAATCTTATTATCTTATCAACCTAATATTCATATTTGCTGTGAACGTATTCTTCTTTTTCTCAGGAATATGTTTCAATTCCCTGGTCATACTCAGTTTCTGGAGGTCTATACAACTTCGAAAGAAATTATGTTATTTCATGATAATGCTTTTGTCCTGTTGCGATTTGCTCGCGGTTTTAACTAATAGTCCACTGATGGCCCTTATCGCGATATCATGGTCGACGGGACAGTTGGATGTAAATGCTAGATGGCCTTATATTTCCCTAACAACGACAAGTATTTTCCTAGTTTTTTCATTACTCGCTCTTTTGGTGATGAATTTCGATCGATATTTGGCGACATCTTATCCTATCTTTCATCGAACATCGGTAACGAAGGGAAGACTTTTAACTCTTCTTGCAATACTGATCATCGTCGAAGTAATTTTGAAAGTGATGTCTGTAAACGACTTTGTTATTTCCCACCAAGTACATATTCTAATTCTCTGTATTCCTAACTTTCCTGCGATGTTATTTATCAACTACAAACTGTTTCTAGTCGTCAGGAAAAGTCGCAAAAATAAACGAATATCGCCCGATCTGAAAAAGACGTTTTCTTTGAAAAATATATCGAGTTGTTTGCTGGTAGCCGCTTGTGTTGTGGTGGTATCCATTCCAAAGGGGGTCTACATTGGATTAAGAATAAACTCGACACAGACAACACAAACTTTGGATAATGCAAACCTTGCAAGGATGTGGGCTAGAACCATAGCTTTGATGAATTGTACATTTAACTGTTTAATCTTTTACTGGAAAAACAAGGTGTTACGTACCGAAGGATTGAAAGTTCTGAAAAGCCTGAAAATATGTCGACGAGTTCAATCCTAGCTGCACTAATAACCCTTCTTCAAAAAAAGTAAGGGTATAGAAGGGTATATATCACTAACAAAATCTTGGTCCCAGTAAATGTGAACACAACGAACTGTATACAGTACACTTATATTGTTCTATATATTAATATGCATATCATCATCACTATAAGAAAGACAGTAGCTGTAACTAGGGTATATAAGGCACTGTTATGCTTGTAATTTCATCCATTCCTGAAGATAACTAAAATATAGTCGAATAAAACGTAGAAAAATAAAAATGCTCTCATTTCTTTAAATTATTTCATTACATACAGGGTGTATAACAAATTTGCCATGTTATTGTGCTTTAAGTATTGCCGATTTTAATATAGTTTAAAATGTTTGTCTCGCTTTGTGGAACAGATTAAAATTGAATGCGTAATAAGTCCATTCTATAATTTATGCATGATATACGTTAAGTGCGCTCTAGTTCTCTAATGGTATTGGGGGGAAATGTGTTTGTTGGGAAAATACTGCTCTTGCGCGTTACTCTCCATTGCTTAGGGCCAGGATTTTTATACACACTTTGGAACGTAGTGATTTATTTTGGGCAACGATCGTGACTGCCAACTCTCATTAACTTTCACTCTCGTTAGACCCGCGCTCAATCAAGATACGATGCGGTCTGGAGACTAAACACAAGTGTTTGTTATATGTTTTTGTTCGAGTTTATGTTCATTTGTGCGCGGTCATGAAGCGACCGTCGATCCAACATTAAAGGATAGCTGAGATGAAACGTGCAACCACGATGAATAATATCTAATGAAGTTGAGACAAAGGATTTGCGCACGGTTAAAATATCAAACGTATTAGTACGTGGAAATGAATGCGTAGATCTGATTTTCGCATCCTAATAAAGATTAGGCTTTTAACTATCGAACGAGATAATTTTTCTATCATTGCGTTAAAAACTGAGCACGACCGACTTAAAATGGCCGATTTTTCTGCCAATTCCATAATTGCAAACGCGTATGTCTGAGTGTTCAAATTATTCGCTGAGAGAATATTGAAAATTTAAAAGAATAACAAGGAATAGCTGTCAAAAGAATAATCAAATAATCAAAATAAGAATAATCTAGTCTTGGCGATTAAATTTAAAGATGATTTAACACGCGATTAGACAACGAAATTTTGTGATTAAAACATTTTCCGAAACCTGAAGTTTGCAGAGAACTTGCAATGCCTATATAATGTTTCTCTCATATACAGCGACCTCTATTTGGGCAAATGTTCGAAAATTCTGAGAATATTTTGCGGCAGGAGAGATAGAAAAAATTGTTTTCGACCGCTAATGTCAAGTCATTCCTATTTCGCCGTTTTTATTCGCAGTGAAATATCATCAAATGATCTTGAAAATTATATTTGAGTGTTTCAAACTCTTAAAATTTAAAAAAAAAGTAAACACATTTTGGAGAGAATCTAAAATCCAGAAAACGTCTCACTTTCGACAAAACTATATACATGTGTATGAAATGATTTAAAAATGTTCATTTCTCATGTAAGCTGGTGTCAGGTAAAACGAAGGCTAAGATTATGAAAATAGGTCAACAGTCGAACATGTATATATCGACCATCTGTTGTTGTAGGAAAATGAATGCGACTATTGAACAAATTAACTAAATTTTTGGTAAATTTGAATAAAAAGTAGATGAGAAAAAGTTTGTTTTGCTTTGCCGAACAGATTAAAATTGAATGCGTAATAAGTCCATTGTATAATTTATGCATGATATACGTTAAGTGCTCTCCAGTTCACTAATGATGTTGGGAAAAACGTGTTTGTTGGGAATATACTGTTCTTGCACGTTGCTCTCCATTGCTTAGTGCCAGGACTTTCATACACACTTTGGTAGGTAGTGATTCTAATTTATTTTGTGCAACGATCGTGACTGGCGACTCTCATTAACTTTCATTCTCGTTAGACCTGCGCTGAAGTGTGTCATTGTGTTGCAAAATATTGTAAAATGCGGATAATATAGCCTTGCGAAGTTTGTAATTTTCAGTCATTCTGTATTACGCATAGAAGTGGTAACCCGTTTGTAATCTAAAATGACTGAAAATTGCAAACTTCGCAAGGCTATATTATCCGCATTTTACAACATTTTGCAACAAAACTTTGGAATATTACTAATTTTGTGATGCTCTTTCAAGCTGTGATGAAATTTTTGTCTAGACTTGTTGAGTTTAAAATTTTGGTTAATTGGGGAATGATCCATTAAAAACAGGTGTGACCACTTTGTGCGACTGCAATGCAATAATAAACTTTTCAACCGTTGTGTTACAATCCCGTCGATTCTTCACAAGAAGTCGCTCGAGGATGGAATCTTATTACTTTATCAACCTCATATTCATATTTGCTGTGAACGTTCTAGTCGTCAGGAAAAGTCGTAAAAACAAACTGTTCGAACAATTTCGAACATTTCAAACAATTTTGGAATGTTACTCGGTCATTTTAGAGTAGTTTTATATGGTTAAGCCATAGATATAGGAGATCTAGATTGCTAACGCATGCTTAGCGCAGGTGGGGCCTACATGATAAATCCAAGATGGCGGTACAACAGGGCAAAAAGAGTATAGATTCTATTACGAAAATCAGGATTTTTGCATTTTTTGCCGTCGCATTGTTTCGAAACTTATTCGGTCAAATTTTATGGTAAAGAGAAACTTACCGCGAAGATTTTGAGCATATATATGATTGAATGGGATGAAAACTAGCAAAATTATCCAGCGATAAAAGTTCATGTATAGTACTGATATAGTACTATATACGTAACTTGTACAGTTTTGCTTTAATTTTTGCTCACTATTTGCATAAAAAGCAAATTATAACAGACCATAGATGATAGACCCTTATCCAGTGCTCTCATCAGTTTACTTCTCTAACAAGCGAGGAGGAGGGGGGGGGGTACATAACAGTTCATTTTTCATAATTTTGAGGAAGAGCAGATGATGATGAGAGATGCAAGTATAAAACACCATTCACAAGACTAGATGTTAACATAGCACAGTATTTCTGGCAATAAAACGTTCCAAACGTTCCAAACGTTCCAAGCGAACTTTTATCGCTGGATAATTTTGCGATTTTTCATCCAATTCAATCATATATATGCTCAAAATCTTCGCGGTAAGTTTCTCTTCACCATAAAATTTGACCGAATAAGTTTCAAAACAATGCGACGGCAAAAAATGCAAAAATCCTGATTTTCGTAATAGAATCTATAGTCTTTTTGCCCTGCTGTACCGCCATCTTGGATTTATCATGTAGGCCCCGCCTGCGCTAGGTATGCGTTAGCAATCTAGATCTCCTATATCTATGGGTTAACCCAGCTCCTGACGTCATCAAAACCATAGTTAATGAGGTCAAGAATTAGTCCAAGATGGCGAACAACTCATTCATTTCGGTCTAAATATTTCGAGAAATAAGCAATATATGACAAATCTGTAATAGAGTTTGATATATAATTTTAAGAGTTCTTTTGAATGAGACAAACTAATTTTTTATTGACAATGTCCTTTAAAATATCAAACGTATTAGTAGGAAAATGAATGTGACTGTTGAACATCACCCAAGGACAAATTAACTAAATTTTTTTTGGTAAATTTCAATAAAAAGTGAATGAGAAAATATAGAAAATGTTTCTCTCGCTTTAGTCGAACAGATTAAAATTGAATGCGTAATAAGCCCATTGTATCATTTATGCATGACATACGTTAAGTGCCCTCTATAGTTTTCTAACGATGTTGGGAAAAAATGTGTTTGTTGGGAAAATGTTGCTCTTGCGCGTTCCTCTCCATTGCTTAGTGTCAGGATTTTTATATAAACTTTGGAAGTAGTGACCTTAATTTATTTTGGGCAAGGATCGTGACTGCCATTAATTTTTAATCTCGTTTGACCTGCGCTAAAGTGTGTCATTGTGATCAATTAAAAACAGGTGTGACCACTTTGTGCGACTGCAATGCAATAATAAACTTTTCAATCGTTGCGTTACAATCGGGTTAATTCTTCAGAAGAAGTCGCCCGAGGATGGAATCTATTTATTTTATCAACCTCGTATTCATATTTGCTCTGAACATATTCTTCTTTTTCTCAGGAATATGTTTAAATTCCTTGGTCATACTCAGTTTCTAGAGGTCTGTACAGCTTCGAAAGAAATTATGTTATTTCATGATAATGGTTTTGTCCTGTTGCGATTTGCTCGCGGTTTTAACTAATAATCCATTGCTGGCCTTTATCACGATGTCATGGTTGACGGGAAAGTTGGACGGAAATGCTAGATGGCCTTATATTTCCTTAATATCGACAGGTATTTTCCTTCTTTTTTCATCATTCGCCCTTTTGGTGATGAATTTCGATCGATATTTGGCGACATCTTATCCTATCTTTCATCGAACATCGGTAACGAAGGGAAGACTTTTAACTCTTCTTGCAACACTGATCATCGTCGAAATAACTTTGACTGTGATGTCTGTAAATGACTTTATTATTTCCGACCAAGTACATACTATAATTCTTTGTATCCTTGTCATTCCTGCAATGTTATTTATCAACTACAAACTGTTTCTAGTCGTCAGGAAAAGTCGTAAAAACAAAAGAATATCGCCCGATATGAAAAAGACGTTTTCTTTGAAAAATATATCGAGTTGTTTGCTAGTAGTCGCTTGTGGTGTGGTGCTCTGCATTCCATGGGGCGTCTACATTGGATTAAGAATAAACTCGCCAGAGACAAGAAATACTTTGGATAATGCAACCCTTGCAGGGTTGTGGGGTAAAACCATAGCTTTGATGAATTGTACATTTAACTGCTTAATCTTTTACTGGAAAAACAAGGTGTTACTTAGCGAAGGATGGAAAGTTCTGCAAAGTCTGAAAATATGTCGACGGGTTGAATCCTAGCTGCACTAATAACTAATCTTCAAAAAAACTTAACGCGCGAAGGGAATTCCATCTCTTGTAAGGATTTTAGTTTGTCCTAACAAACGTGGTACACACTTATATTGTTCTATATATTAATACGCATATCATCATCCTATAAGAAAGACAGTAGCTGTAACTAGGGGATATAAGGCACTGTTATGCATGTAATTTATATACGTCACGTGCATATAAGGCACTGTTATGCACGTGACGTGACGCGCTATCGCGTGAGGCGCGAGCTTGACCGCTCCGCGGTTTATGCAAATTTTCTACCGCTGTTTTTGGAAATTTGAAAGTGAAACATTGCTGGATTGTAAATAAAGTTAAGATCTACCTGGACAAGTGAAAATCCTGTTAATTGATAGTGGGGCTGTTTGGATATTTGTCGAAATAGTCTATTTTTACGGCGACGATAGACTTTTAAAACTTCAGTTGGAACCGTTTGATTATCACGCAAACATACGGCGCACGCGACAACATTACACGTCAGTGCAACAAGCTCAAATCACAATTGGAACTCCGATTAGTACTGTTTTGAATTGAATAATTTGATGCTTTCAATTAATCTTTTAAAAAAAAACAAGATGAATAAATTCATGATTAAGAGCCCTATCTTTTTCATCATCCTGGTTTACTGGTTGTCTGCTTCTGTGGTAACGGGATCCAAAAACGACGATGTGGCCAAAAATATCTTATTTAATCGGACCGTTTCACAATTGCGTTTCTATTCTTATATGGAGGATGAAATCTTGGTTTTTAGTTCTTACGTGGATGATTTTGATTATTTCAACGAACTCAAAGATTTATACAATTTTTCATCCATATACAACTTTTGTCCAGAGTTTACTAATTCATTTCTGGCAAAAGAATATTATACGACTGAAAAAAGTTGGTACTGTGTTATTAACAATCGGACACACTTTGTTGTATTTATTAAACGTAAATTTATGAGACGAAGACTTCACTATTATACAAATTGTCAGTCGACTTTTAACCCTACCGTACTGTCTGCGTATTTAATAATGTGCGGTGACATCCACCCTAATCCAGGACCAACATCTACAAACACTTCTGTAAACGGAAATTCGTCTCGTAGCAATAACTGTGCTTCGCGTGAACGACAACCCGGGGACAAACAGTCAAACTTGTTCTGTGTGCATATGAATGCCAGGAGTTTGAAAAAGAATATCAACACGCAAGGAAATTTATTTATTTCTAACCTGATTAAGTTTCAAGAGATGGTATATTCGGAATCGGTTGATATAATGTTTGTGACTGAAACCTGGCTCAACAGCAATGTTACAAGTAAAGAAATTTTACCTAATGGATACAATATATACAGATCAGACCGGTCGCTGGGACGAACCGGAGGAGGAACACTGATAGCTATCAAACACGGTATTTTCATCAGCTGCAGTCAGATTACTTCCATTGCTACTACGAATTTGGAGGCAGTTGCTATTCAATGTACCCTACCCAACCACGCAAAATGGCTTCTTGTGTGCTGTTATAGACCACCTGATAGTAACGATATGTCTGATCTTAGATCCTTTGCTGATAACCTATTTCCTAGTTACGACAAGATTATTATTGCCGGGGATTTTAACCTCCCAAATATCTCCTGGACAGATGGTTACTATACATCGTTTGGTTCATTGAGTCAGAATTTCTGCGATATTTTGGACGATTACTTCATGTCCCAACTTTGCCTTACGCCTACGAGAGAATCAAATATTCTGGATCTACTGATTACAAACCAACCTGAACAAGTATCATTTATAGACATCTGCTCTCCAATGGATTTAGGAATGTCTTCTGATCATAAAATTATGCAGTTTAAATTTTCCTCCGCATCTAAAACCATTCAATCTAATAAACGTTTGGTCTACGATTACAGACGAGCCAACTTTGACGGCCTGCGAAAACGTTTAATAGACATAGACATTTGTTCTCTTGTAACAAATAATGGAACGGAATCTAGTGTTGATGATGACTGGTCAACTTGGAAGGACGCCGTGATGTCTGCTGTGCATGAATTTATCCCTTCCAAATATGTGGACCCTCGTCGCTCACCACCTTGGATAACACCTACCATCTTGCATCATATTCGTAAAAAGGTTACTGCCCGTAAGAGATTCCTTAGCCGTGGAACTGATTATCTTAAGGCGAAGTTTAACAAACTGAGAGCTGAAGTTAAAAAAATTATTCAAAATAGCAGAGAGTCATTTTTCTCGTCATTAGGAAACACTATACAAATCAACCCAAAACGTTTTTGGTCGGTTTTCAAAATCAAGTCAAGTTCTGGAAATATACCCAACTCCGTCACAAGGTCGGATACCAACAATCCTGGGACTAGATTACATGCTAACACACCACACGACATTGCAACAATGTTTAACGAGTACTTTCATTCTGTCTACACATGTTTCTCTGACCAACCCTCGCCATCTCAATCTGGTTCATCATCTCCTTTATCCAGCATCTCATCCATTGACCTCTCTCTAGAAGAAGTATATCAAGCCTTACTGAACTTAGATCCTTCTAAGGCTCATGGTCCTGACGGGTTTCCTTCCCGCATTTTAAAGGAATGTGCCCTCCAATTAGCACCTTCACTTCATTACTTGTTTTCAAAGTCACTCCGTTTATCGCAGTTTCCCACCGAATGGAAATTAGCTAATATAATTCCTCTACTCAAGAAAGGAAACAAAGATCACGTTGAAAACTACCGTCCCATTTCTCTGTTGTGTATCATAAGCAAGACTCTTGAACGTTGTGTCCTCAACCATTTATCGCACCGTATACAGTCCAACATTCATTCGGCGCAGTATAGTTTCGTCAACGGAAGATCAAGTACAGCTCAGTTATTGTCAATTTTAAACACTATTG